ATATTAAAAGCTAACATAAGCAGTAGCATTTACAAATAACAGCGTATCTAAAAGTATGAGACAACAACAAACAAAAAACATAGGCCTACCATTAAAAGCCGTGCTTGCAGAGGTTCTGCACGATCCTCTATATCCTCTGCTTCGTAATCGGGCTCAAACTGATAAGCAATATTAATGACGGAGCACAATTCAACCGGAGCACATGCTGCTGAGATACCGGGCAGGACGTTTAGATGCACACTAGAGGCGGTTTAGCCAATCACAACACACTGGGCTTGCTAACCAATCAGAGCCCATCGCCTATTTCTGAGGGCGGGGCTTCATAAAAGCAGGAAATTATCAGCACGTTTCTCAGAGAAGGGACAGAGCGGTGTGGAATAAAAGTAAATTATGTGAAAAATAATGCGTTTTTTTTTTTAAACGAAGCATTAACACATGTTAGACTGCACCCCATAAACACAATCAAGCCTAGAAAAAAACCAGTGAACCACCCCTTTAAATCTAATGCAAACTGGAAACACATATTATTTGATTAATCTGATGGAATACTTTAAAAAGGCTGACAGATGTGTTTATGGCTGCAAATGTCTTGAGGAGAGAGTTGCCCACTGCTGCAGCCAGATGACACACACACACACACACTCCTGTTGGATAATGTCACTGCTGATGTCATCACATGGATTCATTTCAGCAGAGGTGAGATGTGCTATTTATAGTGAGAAGTTATGACCATAAATATATAATGACCTGCCCCCCCCCCCCATAATGAGTAAACATAATTAACTATTATTTGCTATTATTTAACAACAACAACGACAACAACAAAGTATAGCTGGGGCCCTTGTGATTCTCTTTAGGAAAATTGTTTCACAGAACAGAGAAATTAAACAAACATTATTTTTTATTAATCATAATAATGATGATAATAATAATAATAATACTGTACATATATTGAATTTGAGGTGCAAGAAGTGCACCACTAAACCTCATGTGAACAATGTATATTCATTCTTCATATTCGCCCACAATTTCAATGTTGCCAAGCCTTTTCTTACCCTTATATAAAAAATATTGCAGAGGAACAATTCATTGCTCAAACATTGCTCTTTCATTGCTCATGAATGAAAATTTTGTCATTAATTACTCACCCTCATGTCATTCCAAACCCCTAAGACCTTTACAAATTAAGATATTTTTGATGAAATTCGAGAGCTTTCTGACCCTGACCCTGCATTCTGACCGCTGATGTCACATTCTTCTTTTTGTTTATTTGTATAGCACATTTAAAAACAACTTAGGTTGGGCAAAGTGCTTTCCAATAAAAACAACATTCAGAAAAACAAGAAGTCAAAAAAACAAAAACAAAACATGGACTATTTTAACTATGTCCTTACTATCTTTCTGGGCCTTGAACGTGTCAGTTCCATTGCCATCTATGGAGGGTAAGAAAGCGCTCGGATTTCATCAAAAATATCTTAATTTGTGTTCCAAAGATGAACAAAGGTCTTACGGGTTTGGAATGACGTGAGGGTGAGTAATTAATGACAGAATTTTCATTTTTGGGTGAACTATCCCTTTAAGTAATGAAATGAATCAAATATTGGCATAAATTAGGCACATATACACTGTTAAAAATAAAGGTGCTTCAAAAGGTTCTTCAAGCGATGCCATAGAAGAACCATTTTGAGTTCCACAAAGAACCGTTCAGTCAAAGGTTCTTTAAAGAACCATCTCTTTCTTACCTTTTTGTAATCTGAAGAACCTTCTTTCGCCACAAAGGACCTTTTGTGAAACAGAAAGGTTCTTCAGATGTTGAAGGTTCTTTATGGAACCATTTAGACAAAAAGGTTCTTCTATGGCATCGTGAAGCACCTTTATTTTTAAGAGTGTAGAGCTATAAAATCTATGTGGATAGCATACTTCAGATTCAGATCTTGCGAAGACTGATATTTATAGGCTTTCTAGGCAAATCGGAGTACAATGGGAGACTCTGTTGAGAGCTCTTCTGAAACTCTACTGATGTAGGATTACTAGGGGTTTTGTCTCAGGGGGGAAATCTGAAAAGCAGGAGAGATGAGCGAAAGTCTCATTTTAATCTAATAGCTGTCAAAGAGAAATGACTGAGATCTGATTTGTGGTTTTTCTAACTTTAATGGCGGTTTTAGAAAAAACATCATTTTTTTTCATTCCTCAAAGACAATGAATTGCAGGAGCTCCTCCCACCTGTGCACGGTACCTGCTCAGGTGCTCAAACAATAAAAAGACTGTTCACTCTGATAAAGAGCCACTTTCTCCAGAGTCCGGGACATTAGTGGATGTTGACTCAACCTGCTGGCAGAGATCACACGCTGAAGGATTACTCGTCTTCAAAGATGATGAAGATTATACCAAGATTCTCCACCACCTTAGTTGTTGGTTGGATTGTTCTTTTCATGGGTGAGTAGCGACCTTATTTTAAATATGTGATTTATGAAAAATTTAAATATGAAAAATTGATGTGAAATATGAAAAACTTTTTAAGGGATAGTTAGTCCAAAAATGAAAATTCTGTCATCATTTACTCACCCTCATGTCATTCCAAACCTGTATGACTTTCTTTCTTCTGTGGAGCACAAAAGAAAATATTTTTGAGAAAAAAAGAAAAAAAAAGTCATTGTATTTGTTGTTTTGGACACCAGTGACTTTCAGTGTATAGACAAAAACATATTCCTCAAAATATATTCTTTAATCATGAGGGTGGCAACGTATTCATTTGGGAGAAATAAAAACCTTAAATCATTATATTGATATCTGATTCAGGTGTAAACTCTGTCAATATCTCTGCGGTGGATTCTCCAGCTGAAAGCACAGATGCCTCGACTCCACACTCTTTGACTTCAGTTATCATGGATCTCAGAATCACAAACCGTGTTTATAATCATTCACTGGCTGACCAGCAATCAGCAGAGTATACAACACTCAAGCAAGAGGTGGAACAACTGGTGAGGGTCTCTTGTTAATCATGCTTGTGTACGTAAAGCACTCATGGGATATTTACAGTATTCTAGGATATATTACATCCACCAACAGACATACAGTATACTCTAGATGAAAGTGAATGATTTGAATGTTCAGGTCAATGACTAGTGGTCATCTAGAACTCACTTCAGAAATTATACCGGGGTGCAGCACTGGTCTCAAATAAAAAATACCCCAGTACTTTAATATATTACGTTACTGAATGATTGCACTTACAGAAAAGTACCATTTATCACTGAATACCATTTAAATAACATGGTATTCGCTAAAGTACCTTGGTAATGCCATCATATCATGGGACTCCCACAGTGATATTTGTAAAGGTACCAGATTTATAAATTAAAAGATATTACAATGTATGCCGTACGTCTAAGAAACCATGGTGTTACCATGGTACTATGAACAAAATAAGCTATGCTAATAAATTAATGTACTTTATAGAATGCCAGTATTATCAAAGTGATAAAATGTGCTATCAATTAAGATGAGCAAATTGGTAATATTGACTTTTCCCTGTTGTACTTTTCCAGTTTGCAGATATTTATGAACGATCATATGACACCACTCATCTGATATATTTGGGGACAGATGAGATGATTTTCAGGTTTGAGTAATAATCTTAGATTTACATCCAATATAACCGTGACAGAGACTGTCTGATCTTAAAATATTTCTCTTACAGTAATGGGTCTGTGATCGTCACTTCTCGTCTGCTGTTTGGGCCGACTCAAGTCAATCCAGAGCTTGTGAGAGGAATCTTTTTTCCTGCGTACAAACAAATACCATCGCCGGCCCTAGAGATCGAACTCAGCCACATTGAAAGTAAAATAACAGTCAACAATGGTTGATTTTACATCGTTTTCACGTTGTTCATTAACAGGGGGTTGACATGGAGGATTTGAAAATTAAGTATTGACCAACATTGACTTTTTATCTCACAATTGCAAGTTTATGTTTTAGTTTTTTAGCTATAGATTTTTTCCTCAGAAATCTGAGTTTACACCTCGCAATTCTTTATTTATTTATAATTTTTTAGAAATGTAAGCTGACCAGATTTCTTAATTTATATCTCACAATTCTAAATTTTTTCTCAGAATTCCAGGTTAACATCTCGCAATTCTGCCAAATACCTAAAAAGATACCTAAAATGAAAGTCTAAATTGTGAAAAAAAAAGAATTGTAAGATAAAAAGTTACAATTATTATTATTAATTAAAATTTAAAAAAAATTAATTCTGTTGCAGAAATAAGCTTCCATATAAAAGTGGCAAAAACATAATTATCAACCAATAAATAATTAAATCAATAATTTCATCAATCTCACCCACAGATGAACTACCTACTGAAGAACCTCTTGAGGAAGAGATCTTCAGCAGACCACCAACGACAACGCATAAAGAAATAAACTTTACGACCATGCCCTCCGTGACCATGCCCCTCACTTCCACTCCTGACAACATAATGGACACTGAATCCTTCACCAGCCGTCTTCCATCCACACGCTCACCCAACATGTCAACCTCCCACGCATTGGGCTTCAGTGTTGTTGTAGGAAACATCACAAACTCCATCCACTTCACCACCTCCATACCCTTTAACACCACCACAATGCACCTAAACACCACAACCAGCTCACCGATAGATAATACAAGTATTTCTGCAGCACCCAACAGCACCACCAATGCAGTAACCAATGGGACAACCACAGAAGTCCCTAATGGGACCACCACAGCAGCACCCATTGGTACCATCCCTACAGCTTCCAATGGCACCACCACCACTGACACCATCACTTCAGTCCCAAATAGCACCACCACCACCACAGCCCCCAATAACACCACCACTGCAGTCCCCCAAAGCACATTTACCTCCATCCACAGCACTGTTGGGAAACCAACAATCAGCTCCACCAAGTTTACAACAGCACAGCCCTCAAGGACCACAACCATGAACCATTCACCTACTACAAAGGTCACTGTTTTGGTGCCTGGATGGGCGGTTGCCCTCTTAGCACTGGCGGCTGTCAGCCTCTTCCTCCTCATCATCCTCATCATTCTGGTGAGTGATCGAGGGTTTAGGATCAATGTAACATAAGCCTTTGGTTTTATAGAAGAACATGATTGCAACTTTAAAAATGGGTATTTGTGATATGTTTGAAATGTGTCACATTTGAGTGTTTCATTTGAATAAATAATAAAATTGACCAACTTCTGTACTACTATCCCTAAGTATAGAGGCAGCACATTGGCACAGTTTTGGTATCAGATTATATGCAATTTAACCTTTGATAGGATATATATACGGTAGCCCAGTAGTGCACAACACAACGAAATCTCCACAACACATCAGAAACAAGCCACAACACAACAAAATTTGCACAACGCAAAGGAAACAAGCTGCGACACAACGAAATTAGCACAACACAACAAATTAAGTACAACGCAACTGAAACAAGTTGCAACACACAAAATTATCACATCAAAACGGAAACAAGCTGCAACACAACGAAATAAGCACAACACAATGAAAACAAGCCGCAACACAATGAAATGAGCACAACACAACGAAAACAAGCAGCAACACAACGAAATAAGCACAACACAATGAAAACAAGCCGCAACACAATGAAATGAGCACAACACAACAAAAACAAGCAGCAACACGACGAAATTAGCACAACACATCGAAAACAAGCCGCGACACAACAAAATTATCACAACACAACGAAAACAAGCCGCAAGACAACGAAATTAGCTGCAACACTACCAAATTAGCACAACCCAACAAAATTAGTCGTATGCGTTGAGTTGTGGCAATTTTGTTGTGTTATGGAGATTTCGTTGTGTGGTGCACTACTGGGCCACCGTATATATACAATGCTACTAAATGATTACCATATTTATATATAAAGCAAGACTATCATGGCAAAATACTTCAAAGCCAAGTTGGAACATTTTGGGGGTGTTTTTGTCAGTGTTAACAGTTTACTGTTAAAGGACAACAGTGTTCCTCCTCTCAGGTGGTGATCTGGTGCTGTTGTCCGAAACGAAGAGTTTTCATGAATGAAGCTGAAGAGATGAATCCTCCCATGTACTTCAATCCAGACATCCCTATGTACTCAACACAAAGCACATTTGATACATCCAACGGCAAACAAGCGGTGCGATACATTTCACAACTCATTCTGATGCAACTTAGCTTGTATTTTGTTCCTATACAGTTTGGTCATGAAATAAAGTGAAACTAGATTCTATAATAAAAGTGACTCCCTTAAATTTTCAAGACTTATAACCAAATTTTGAAAGTGAATGTGCTATACAGTATGAACAGAATTAACAAACTTGTGCTTTGATGCTCATTATTTGCTGTTGCTAAATCTAAATCTATTTAAAATAGTTAATTAAAATAAAGCTGACGTAAAATATAATTATTAGATGACTTAAAATATTAGATCACTTAAAAATGTAAACAAAAATTAGTTGCATTGACAGCTAATTTAAAATAAGTTAAAGTATTAAAATTATGAAACTAATATAAAAATGTAAACAGAAATATATATATATAAAAAAATAAAAACTAATTGAACAAAATTACTAAAACTAAAATGAAAGCTTAAAATATAAAAATAATTCTAAATTCAAAATATTGAAAAAAAATGCTACAATCCCAGAAAAAAAGGTACAAAAGCTCCCACTGGGGGTGGTACCCTTTCAAAAGGTACTAACATGCACCGTTTAGGTACTAATATGAACATTTTAGGGTAATAATGTGTACCTTTAAGGTCTTAATTCACACCCTTTAGGCGTAAAAGAGGTACAAAAGTGTACGTTTTGAAAAGGTACCCTAGTGACAGCTTTTGTTCCTTTTATATGAGTGTATACATAAAGAATACAGAACCAAACAATACAGAATAAAAACAGAACCACAGTATTTTTGATGCAGTTTGAAAGTAGCAGTAAGGATTTAAGTATTAAATCCTTGCAGACTCAAAACGCATTGATATTTACAATAGTTATCAGTTACAGGACTTACTCTCAAGTTAAAGAAGGGATTAGGTGGTTACCTGCTGGTACAGACATAATGGATCAGCTCTTGCCTGCTGCTGTATGAACGGGACAATTTGAGAGTCACACCTGTTCGTAAAGGCAGGTAGTGAACGTTGAGTGTGTGAATGCAGCCTTATGATCAGAAAGCATCAAGAAACCTATAAACTAATGCCAAAACTTGTTGGAAAGCATGCAGCATTTGAACCCTTTCGCAATCGCAAAAATACAAGCCAGAGACTTTTAACTATACAAATAGAATTGCAGCTTTATTGTGGAGGGAAACAGAGGGGGTTTCAGAAGGGTTCTCCATCAGCATCTCTGTCCATGTAAAACACCGACCCCACAATCACAGATCAGAACTAGGGAAAATTGGCTACTGTTACCTGGCGTTCCAGCATCCCCGTTGCCTGCACAGGCCCCTCTTTGTGTGGCTCTGACTAAGAAACCTGAAGCGTGGGAAACTCGACTCTCGTTCAGAGACTGTGAGGCCTCCATCTGCGTCTCCTCCATCGTCCAGTAGCCCCGGCGTCACTGCTCACAATGCCCTGCCTACATTCGAACAATAACGTGAGCCAGGAGAGAAAGACTTAAGCTTTGAATCCAACCCTCATTCAGGCCTCCAGGGCTGAATGCATCCGAGCAGCAGGTTTTGGTGGACAGCTGATCAGAGCAGAGAGTGATTAACTGAACAGAGCTCAACGGAGGCATTTGTTAGGGCACTGGCATTTATATTAATAACAAGCTGGATGACTCACAGTGATGATATAAACAAAATTATCTAAATCACCCGAAACAGCCCAACCCATATGGCCCTAGACACACACACACACACAAAAATGGAAGAATAAACTAAAAAATATAATAGTAAAATAGTAAATAAAAGAGAAAAAAGAGGTCTGAAGAAAAAAACAGAAACAAATCACAATATTAATAAAAAAAACAAAGTAAATAAAAAATACACAAAATATTAATATATAAAGGAATATCAAATATAAAATAAAATTATCAAAAAAAGGATAAAATAAATTTATGTTAATGACTTTTGACATAAAAAGTTATTTCTAATGCGGATGGACGTTATAGTTTATACACGCCCTTCATTGTCATCTAATGATAATTGACTTTTTAATTGTTTTAACAGAATGTCAGAGAAAAACCTCCGAAAAACAAGACAGGAATGTACGTGGTGAACCAATGAAGGACACAGGTATAGTAAAAAACACATACGCAGCTGTGAGCATGACACACTTCTGTAAATAACCCAGCTCAAACTCACACTTTAACTCAATCATTCAGGTTTTCTGGCCCCCAACATTGTCCCTCCTTCCATGTGTGAAGAACGAGGCCTGAGGAAACCCTTGTTGGATGTAAAACTGTCATACATCCGGTACTGTACTGCAGGATGTTGAACGGACAGGGAAATGATTTTACATGCCATTACATTGATTTAGAATTTATTTTTCTACTATATACCTTTGCACAAAGTAATTTGTAACTTTTAAAAATGGATTGAATGATGACAGTAATGTGATGTATTAACAGTGATTTAGTGAAATTTTTTTAATGGAAAATACTGTTTCATGGGGAATAAACCCTAAAATTGTTAGTGACACTGCCTGGTTCTACCATAGATCAAAAGGAGGAGTTTTAGTTAGTTTGTGCATTGGGTGACAAATATGGAATAAACCGAACAGAACTAGACTACACTGTGTCACTTCAGGTCAAATTCTTTTAAAAAGCAAATAGGATAAAAATGTGCCAGGCATTAACTTGATTGAGAAATCAAGATACGGAGTATTTGAACAACAAGAACATAAATGTGTCAGAGGAAGCGTGAGGCAAGGGAAATTCTGCAGACTATCTCAGCAGTCAAATGTAATCTGTGATGAAATTTCATTTTTCCCATATTTCTGTCTCTGCTGTTTAAACTGACCCTGAATTCACACACACAAACTGTTCAGGAAATATCCAATTAATAGGTGTATTTGTCACGATTCATTTATTCTGCATATGGAAGTGTCTGATTATTGGGGGGTTACTGAAACAAAGTGAATGTTCTGCTGGTCATGTGAACAGAAAACAAAAATGGGTTTCCTTTAAAACAAAGCATTTGCAGTTGTGTGTGGAAGAAAACTGTAAGGTAGGTTAATCACTGCACTGCATTAAATCAAATTTGCTATATTTAGCATAGGGAAGAAGTTTCTACCACGCTACAGTATTATAGTGGACCGAGATGATGTCTCAGTTGTTATTAATAAAATGTTGGATAAACATTCTGATAATTATAAAATCATATGCCAATCAAAACTCTTTTTCTAAGGCCTTTTTGACAACATTTTGATTTGAATGTTGAAATAGCTCCAGTCCAGCAGGTGGTGCTGTCTTCCACTGGTTAAATGGTAACGTACATAAACAGAAGCAGGCAGAGAGGAGTCATCAGCTCATCTCAGCATGAGGCTCCAGTGTTTTCAACCACAGTTCTAAGGCAAATTTGGTTCCAGTGCTGACTCGTTCAATGTCCTCGCCATGATCCGGGGCCCGGTTACAGAGCACAGAAACAGGCAGCGAGGTCTCGATTAGCTCACCGTGTGGAGACACCTCTGTCACACTGACGACACATAGAAAAAACGGACGCTCAAAACTATGAAATTAATACTAAGGAATAGTTGATCAAAAAACAAACATTTGTTGAAGATCTACTCGGGCAAGTTGTCTCATCTGAATCATGAGAGAAATATGCACAGATCAAGCACTGTTTATAAGCAAAAACAGTCCAAACAGTTCATAATCAAATATGTTGTTGATTTTGATGTGACAACAGGGGATGGACTTTTTCACTTGAGGAAGCAATCTTACGGATTATGGACTTGTATTTTGGGCAGATGCATTGGTTAAAAGCCTAATTGATGTTTATGATGCAACTTTTACTTTACAAGACGTTAAGTGATAGACTGGAGTCGTGTGGATTATTGTGATGTTTTTATCAGATGTTTGGACTCTCATTCTGACGGCACCCATTCACTACAGTGTAATGCAAAAATTTTTCAAATCTGTTTTGATGAAGAAACAAACTCATTAACATCTCATACGGCATGAGTACATTTCCAGCTAATTTAATTTTTTTTGGGTGAACTATTCCTTTAATAGAGATTAATGATGTTGTCCATACCTGATGGTCTGTGGCAGGTCAGTTGGTATTTGAACAGAATCCTTCTCACCATCTACTGCAGATACTACAACTTTCACCAGACCTGCATCGACCCACACACACGCACTAACTTCAGCAGGATCAGGGTGCAAACAAGCCTGAGAAAAGAGGACAGAGATCTTATGGCACACATTGACTTCAAATCAGCAGCATTTTTTGTCGTTTTTATGAGTGGATGACCTAAAGTTGTACCTGTAGCTGCAGGTGTGATTGAGAGCTCTTCAGAAGTATGTATGTCACAATGTGATGTCTCTTAGGCAGTCCTCTGGACAGCATGGGTGGATACACTGACTGGACAGAGAATACAAGTTTAATACAAAAAAATGAAATGCAACACCATTCAAAAAGTAAAAAAATTATTATTATTTTTTTTTATTAATACTGGATGTAAGGATGCATCAAAAGTGACATTCAAAAAAGATACTCATAATGTTACAAAAGATTTCTAATGTTGCAAAAAAATGTTTTGTTTCCACAAACATATTAAGTAACACAACTGTTTTAAACATTGATTATAATAAGTAATGTTTCTTGAGCAGCAAATCAGCATATTAGAACGACATCTGAAGGATCAAGAGACACTGAGGACTGCAGTAATGATGCTGAAAATTCAGCTTTGATCACAGGAATAAATTGCATTTTAATAAATATTAAAATCGAAAGCAGTTATTTTAAATCAAAATAATATTTAAAAATATTACTGTTTTTACTGTATTTGTGATCAAATAAATGCAGCCTGGTTGAGCATAAGAGACTTATTTTTAAAACATTTTAAAAAATCTTATTGACCCCAACCAGTAGTGTGTCATTTACTCATCCTCACATCATTCCAACTTTGTATTATTTTCTTTCTGTCTTCCATACAACTCAAAATGAGATGTTTGGAAAAATGTCCAAACTGCTCTTTTCAAAACAGTGAACGGTGATTTTTACTGCCAAAAAGTTTGATTATATGCAACCGCAACTGATGACATTTGAGAGTTACGGCAGAGGTGAATATTATTTAGTGTTTCAGTCTGCTTCACATTTATTTAGTGTGTGGCTTCAAAAGACTTGTACTTGACTTGTAAAGTCATGTACCCAACTTCTATAAAACTTTTATGGTCCTTTTTCATTCACTTTCCAGGTATGGAAAAGAACCTGGATATTCTGCCTACATCTTTTGTATTCATGGAAAAAATGTAAATAATACAGAGATGGAACAACATGGAGATGAGGACATGGCAACATCAATGGATGAACTATTCCCTTATTGTCTGATATATGTTTGTTTCATGAAAATTAAAGTAAACCCTCTGGATTAGCTTGATTAGATTCACATCTTGAGTCAGCAATTTAATGTCAATGATTGAAACTGAGATGGACAACAGATGTGTGCAGCGCCCGACTGTTCCAGGTTACACAAATACGGTTTGCAAACAATCGGCCTCGATCTGTCAAATTCAGCGTGCAGTCAGTGGCCCCCCTGAACTTTGGCTGTAGGTCTCACAAAAACACTGTGCTATAAACACACACCTCCCACAAGCCGAGCAGCTGAGAGGAGATCTCATCAGGGCTCAGTTTCAGACCGGTCTCTTCCTTCAGCTCCCTGAGTCCTGCATCCAACAGCTAGTTTTAGACACACACAGAAATCAATGAGCCATGGTACCGTTCTTTCATTAATTGATTCAGAATATTAGTTTCCTTGTTTAATATGCTAATTATATTACAAAGAATTACTTACAAAAATAAAATAATAAAACTGATTATGTACACTACCCAAGGTTTGGGGGTCAGTAATATTTTTTGAAGAAAATTACATTAATACTTTTATTCAGCAAGGATCCATTAATTGATCAAAAGTGACAGTAAAGTCATTTATAACATTACATTTCTAATGTAACAAAACATTTCTATTTCATATAAATGTTGTTCTTTCGATCTATCTATTTAACAAAGAATCCTGCAAAGATGTATCAGTTTCCACACAAAATATTAAACAGCACAACTGTTGTCAAGATTGATTATAAAATAAATGTTTCTTGAGCAGCAAATCAGCATATTAGAGTGATTTCTGAAGGATCATGTGACACCATAGACTGGATAATGATGCTGAAAATAAATTAAATTTTTAAATGTATGAAAACAGAAATATTAATTTTTGTACAATATTCCACATTCCACACGTTTTTACTGTATTTTTAATCCAATAAATGGAGCCTTGATGAACATAAGAGACTTCATAAGAGAGAAAAATATATATATATATATATATTTAAACATACTGACCCCAAACTTTTGAGTGGTTGTGTGTGTCTATAGATATCTAGCATTAGGATTTTAAATAAATACAAACAGAAGTTTAACAATTAATTTAATTTAATTTAATAAAATAAATTAATTTAATTTGTTAAATTAATTTAACAAATTAAAACAGAAAACAGTTATATTAAATTTGTAATAATATTCCACAATATTACGGTTTTTACTGTATTTGTCAATCCAATAAATGGAGCCTTGACGAACATAAAATACTTATTTTTTAATATATATATATATACAGTATATACTGTATATATATATATATATATAAACACACTGACCCAAAACTTTTGAGTCGTTGTGTGTCTATAGATATCTAGCATTAGGATTTTAAACAAATACAAACAGAAGATAAAAATGAAGAAGAAATATTTACAATTCTTTATTATTTCTAGGCCCAATAAGTACATTTGTGACTTTGTACAAATATTATTACAAACTTGTGGAGTTTTTAAACTTGATCACTCAGTTTGCTATGTTAATGATGATATATACAGTATATATATATATATATATATACAGTGGTGTGAAAAAGTGTTGGCCTCCTTCCTGATTTCTTATTTTCTTGCATGTTTGTCATACTTTAATGTTTCAGATCATCAAACAAATTTAAATATTAGTAAAAGATAACACAAGTGAACACAACATGCAGTTTTTAAATGAAACACTTTTTCACACAGGGCCATGTAGTTTTGGATTTTGTTTTCCCTTAATAATAAAAACCTTAATTTAAAAACTGCATGTTGTGTTCACTTGTGTTATCTTTGACTAATATTTAAATTAGTTTGATGATCTGAAACATTAAAGTGTGACAAACATGCAAAAAAAATAAGAAATCAGAAACCAACACTTTTTCACACCACTGTATATATTATAATAATTAATCATTTATATATATACAGTATATATATATATATATATTTAATGAAAAATATTTATTTATTTATGCAAAAGATAATACATTAAACATAATATTTATCAAGTGGTCTCAGACA